GTTAGCATAGGAGGAGTAAGTGATTCCCAAGGGCAGGCCTCAGTTCAAATGTAGGTGCACCACCCAAATGTCCTGATAAACTGGATCAGATACACAGAGAGAGCAGGGTTGATGACGGCAGCCTGGGGCAAGAGCCATGACACCGTACTTCAGCTTCCAAGTCTGGGTGACTCTGGGTGGGTGGCCCCTGTACACTGCCCCACTGGAGGCCTCTTCATCCTGCTCTGCTTAGAACTCATGCCTCAAGTCAGAGTGGAAGGAGGTGACTGAACTCCCTCCCTCAGGGAGCACATGCTTTCCTTGGGCTCTAAGTCAAGGCTGCTTTCTTGGGGTGGCGGCTTCCCAAACTCCATGGCCTTGCAGGCCCACCAGCACACCCATAAGCATGAGTGCCTGCTATTGGAGGGATCACTTCACTTCAGCTCTGAAGGTGGCTGGCCTGGGGTATAGCTACCAGCAAATGTCCAATTAAAGGAAGGAAAGGAGGGAGGGAGGAAGAGAGAGAGAAATAGAGGAAAAGAAGGAGGGAGAGAGGGAGAAAAGCAGGGAGTGAGGGAAGTAGAATTTCAAACTCCTCCCTCTGTCTTGAAGTTGGTTCAAGCATTTGTTTTTGTTTTCTTTTTTAGAGATTTATTTGCATACAGAACTGGGGTGCAGGCCAGAGGCTCAGGGGTGGGGAGAGGCTTCACCAGAGACAGAGCGGGGAGCAACAGGCAGACTGACAAAGTACATTGCTGAGGGGAGCAGTGGGCGGGTCAGGAGAGGTCTGCGGTGCTATGTGGGTCACCTGGGTGGGGAACTGGGGATCGAATTCCACTGAAGTGGCTGCGGCTAGTTTGCCCTGCTGCATCCTAACCTATTGCGTCACCAGGGAAGGCTGGAATCGTTGGTTTTAATAACAGCTATCCCCAGGTAGCACCTACTATGTGCTGGGCATCATATTCCACTTTATATATATATATATATATATATATATATATATATATATATATATATATATATATATATATATATATATATACATATAGATATGATCTGATTCAATCATCACACGACATCTATAAAAATAGGCACTATTATTATCCCCATTTTGCAGATGAGCAAACCGTAGGTCAGAGAAGTTGACTAATATGTCCAAAGTTAGAAAGCTAAAATTATAGCAGAACCAAAATTTGAAGCCCCGGCTGTCTGGCTCCGAAAGGGTACCCGTTGCACGGGGTGCCCTGCTGCCCTTAACTGATCCTCCTTCCAGCCTGTGTGGCGGAGAGTGTTATCATCACACCCAGAGCAGATGGAGTCTCAGCAAAGCAGCTGATAGTACTGTCCCCAGAAGCAGAGAGCCAGCGGCCCGTGGTCTCATCCATTTGTTCAGGATGCGAGGCGCTTTACAGCACAGGGTCAGGGGCCTCCCTGGTGGTGCAAGGGCTTAGGGCTCAGCACTGTGCAGCTACCAGGCAGCCACTGCAGCATGAGCAGCATGTTCAATCCCTGGCCTGGGAGCTGACCCACATGGGACAGCAGACTTCTCCTGTCTCACCCTGACCCCTGACTACCCTCCAGTTCTTGTACACATGAATAATAAAAATAAAATCTTTTTAAAAGAAATGATCACAGGCTCAAGGAGAAGAATTCAAATTGAGGCTGATATTAGCTGGGGAACTGTGGCCTGTGAGCTTTAAGCCCTTAGGCTGCAGTGAGAATCCCAAAGGATCATGCAAAGGGTCAAGAACCAGGAAGGTAGGACTTCAAGCTCCTCCCTCTGCCTTGGAGGTTCAAGTTTTGTTCGGGTATACCTGACTCATCATGCTGGTTCGTTATGCAGACTAGTGCTCTCTGAACCTGGCTGATGTCAGAGTTACCTACTGAAGTATAAATGCTTGGGCCGCACCCCCAGGAGATTTTTAATTCAGATATCGGGGTAAGGCTTGGACCTTTTAATCAAGAATCAATTCTGACGCACAGCCAAGCTTGGGGAGCCATCTACAAGTATACACACCTCATCCACAGTGGGGAAGAGACTCAGGTGGGTACCTCCCAAGTCTCCCTTTCTCTTCTCTTGTCACCACCAGTATCCACTTCCTCCAGCTCCTCCCTATTGACTTGCCACGGCTCTCCCCAAATCAAGGTCTGGATGGCCTAGCAGTGAGTCAGCAGCACTGGGTCCCAGGGCACCTGCCTCTCCAGAGGCTTCGGAACCTAGCTCAGGGCTTGGGGAGCAGGATGCCAGGGTTTCTTTCTGGATTTGTCCCCTTTTGACTCACGGTGGCTCTGGGCCAGTAAGAGTCCGAGCCTGTTGGCGCCAGATCAATACTCAGTCAGGGAAAGTGGAGAAGCCTTTCTCTGGGAGTGTGTCCGGCACTTGACAGTCAAAGAGCAGGTGCGGAGGCCGGAGGAGGTGGAGGAGGAGGAGGAGGAAGAGGAGGAGGAGGAGGAGAGGGAAGGTGAAAGAATCCCGCATAACTGCGCTCTCCCATCCACCCTTCATTTGATACAGTATTAGGGAACAAAGCTCGTCAACCTCGACCTGCAAGGTCCTCCATCATCTATCGGTAGCTTTTACGTCAGCGTTATCTCAGACTCCTTCTTCTTTCAGAACTTCTTGCTGTTCCCTGCTCCTCACACTTGAGCCCACCTCAGAGGTTTTGCACTAGTAGCAGGGTTCAGAATGCTTTTGCCATGGATGATCACAAGCCTGGTTCCTTCTTATTCACTCTCAGCTTACATGTCAATGGTACAATGAGGCCTTTGCCATTCAGTCACCAAATCTAAAGTGTCACCCCCCACAAGCCTGGGACACAGTGCCCTACTGTGCAGTATGGTATTTCGACTTTCATCTGAGTGCTTGTCATTACAGGATCTATTTTTCCTTCTTGGTTTATTGCCTGTGTTGCCTGTCTTCCCCTCTTACCACAAAATGTAAGTTTTATGAAAACATACCCATGGTAGTCAGAGTGCTGTGTTTCTAGTGTCAGAAAAGCAGTTAATGTGTGTGGAATACATGAGTGAATGAGGTTGCCCCGGAATGAATTGTGATTCCATTTTTCTTTCTTTCTTTCTTTCTTTTTTTTTTTTTTTTTTTTTTTTTTTTTTTTTTTTTTTTTTTTTTTTTGCCAGAGGACACTCAAGTTTCTGAGTGGGGAAATAACTGTCCCAAATTCATTTCCAATCTTTAGTCTTTTTTTTCCAGGTCTTTCCCATAAAGCCTGACTGACACACAAACCTAGCTGAGGTGAGGTTCTGAGGTGTGATGAAAGTCTGGAGTTGCCCCATGAATGGGGCTGAGGCTGATGTGGGGGTGAGAAGGCGGAAAGAAAGAGTGTGCAAAGGGAGAGGCATGCTGGGACAGGAGCAGAGGGTGTGAACCTCGCCAAGGGTGGGGGGGTGAGTTGGCTGTGTGTCAGGAAGTGCTTCCCTCTGCCCTTCCCTAGGGAGAGACCTGACCCCAAGATGGCTTTGTTTTAGGGACACAGGTGATCAGGCAGTTGCTGAGGGAGAACAAAGGTGTGGCTTGGGCGTTGACCATCCACTGAGGCTCTAGGCTGATACTGTTCACCTAAAGGAACCCGCAGTGGCAATTCGCCAAATAGGGGATAGGTGAGCTTCTATCTACAACTAGTCCAGCTACAGCATGGAGCCTCAGATCTGGGAGGAGCAGAGAGAAAACTGGCTGCTAAGGCAATGGAGTGGGCAAAGTGGAACACTTAGTGGGAACAAAAATAACCATACTAGTAATAGGTCACATTTATCAAGACCTTAAACATGCCTGACAACATACTAGTGACTTTATATGTGTTCCCTGTTCAGTTTTCAAAACACTTGGCAAATTAGGTATCACTGTCAATGTTACTTCCATTTGAGAGATGTGGAAACTGAGGCTCAGTGACGTTAAATATTCTGTCCAAGATTACAGAGAAAAGAGCAAAGGTAGGGAACCAGCTTATGTCTGACGAGATCCCAGTGCACTCTAGAAGCTTAGATCTGGAAAGGGTCAGCTGTGGCTAGTGAGGAGTCAGAGCGACCTGGGCAAACCTGGAAATGGGGAGGGGCAGTGGGATAGACTGGGCACAGATAGGAAGCCTGTTATTTTTTAAAGATTTATTTATTTATGAATTCAAGAACTGGGGGACAGGCTGGAGGCGCAGTGGGTGAGAGGATTCACCAGAGACAGAGAAGGAGCAGAACAGGCAGATAGAGGAAGTACATTGCTGAGAGGAGCAGGGGGTGGGTCAGGAGAGGTCTGCTGTGCCATGTGGGTCACCTCCCTGGCCGGGGATTGAACTCTGCTGGAGTGCATCCACCCCGTTGAATTAGTGTTTTCGCATTCTTCAGGTAGATACTTGGCAGTAAAATTACTGGATCATATGGTAGATCTATTTTTAATCTTTTGAGAAACCTCCGTACTGTTTTCCAGAGGGGATGGACCAGTCTTTAGTTCCACCAACAGTGTATAACGGTTCCTTTTACTCCCCATCTAATTTTCAAATGACAGATAAATTAATGATTATTTACCTGCTGTGCAAAGAAGTAGGTTTCGGAAACTGAGCCGGTGACGTGGGAGGAGATCCCCAGCCAGCTTATCCCAAGGAAGGCCTGAGGGGCCAGGCCTGGAAGAGGGGAAGGAAAGAGGTGTGCTCAAGGGCAGAGCTAGCTCTGCAGTCTCTAGGTTGCAGCGCGACGAGCTTTCGGGGAAAGGTGGGACCTGGCCCCGCCACCTGCCTGTTCGCATCCCTACCCACAGTCGAGCCGCGCCTGCCCGGGCCTGGTCCCAAAAAATTTGTGAGCCCTGCTCCCTACTCGCGCTGTGTTCCTCTGCCGCGCCAGCGGGATCCGGGGCTATCTTCGCAGGGCGGCGCTGAGAGCCGGGCCAGCTTCCCAGGCGGGAGGGGGGGTGGTGGGGCGGGGGAGGGGGAAGGAACGGCGCGAGCGGGGCGGAGCCTCCGCGCCCAGCGGAGCCTTATTCCCGGCCGCGCGCGGCGGGGCGCTCAGTCGATCCAGGGAGCTACGCGCTGCACGCGGCTGACCAGCCTGACCAACGCTCAGGGCTGGGGTTGGGGCTGACCGAGGAACAGTGAGCAGACAGACAGGCGCCCAGTGGCCGCGAGCTCCGCGCAGGTCCCAGCCAGGCTTGCACCCAGAGGCCAACCGCAAACGGTGCGGGGCGGAATCTTTTGCGCTCCGGCGGCCCCTGCTCCGGTGCCAGCGCCCGGTGGCCTCCGCCTCCAAAGTGCTTGCTGCCTTTCGCCTCCTCCGGTCCGGGACCATGAAGCTGCTGCCGTCGGTGGTGCTGAAGCTCTTTTTGGCTGCAGGTAACAGGGCAGCCCACGCCTCCGGAGGTCGGGGGGAGGGGGATTCTGTGCTGGGAGCCCCAGGCGCGAGCCACTTGGTGGGGCCAGTGATCTCCAGCGAGCGGGCGCCGGCCTCGGTGCGTGGCGGCTGGGGGGTCTGGGCTAGAGGGTTGATGCAGCCTCGCCCCTCACCCGCAGTGTTCTCGGCCCTGGTGACCGGGGAGAGCTTGGAGCGGCTTCGGAGAGGGTTGGCAGCTGGAACCAGCAACCTGGACTCGCCCACTGAATCAACGGATCAGCTGCTGGCCTTGGGAGGCAGCCGGAGCCGGGATGTCCAGGACTTGAAAGATGCAGACCTGGACCTTTTCAGAGGTGCGTGTGGGGCTGTCCATCCTTGACCCCTGGGGGCAGTTGAATAAGTAGACCTGGGAATCAGGTTCATGCAGTCGGGGCACACCTGTGGTTTGCAGGTGTTCATGGAGGACTTCAAGGGAAACTACTATGCCAGTCCCCGGGGCCTGCCGGCCAGGAGTATGGGTACTGTTTTCTTCCTCTTGCATTTCACATGGACCTTCAGACAGGGAAGGTGTCAGGAATCCTTTAAGGTGCACTGGGTGATGGGAAGAAGGAATAGCTCAGATGCTTTCCTTACAGCTCCTATGTGAAAAATGAGTGTAAATCCTAGCTCCCTCCTCTAGTGACTATTATGTATAAAATAATCGATGTGGAACATAGTAAGTGTGCCATCTTAGTCTCCACTAATCCACCTGTCTCCAGGTTGGAAAAACAGAGGAGGTGAGAAGCTCTTGTTCTCCTTAGGTGAAGCCAGCATCTCGAGGGATGCTATGGATGGTGAGTAGTTGGGTGCCAGGAGTGACATTAAAAATGCTGGGTATCTGCAAATCCTACCCCAAAGATTAAGATTTCCTGATCACCTTAAATCTGTGTGATTCCAAGGGGGGAAGGACCTGGTGGGATCCTCCAACCAACAGATGTAGCTGTCGCTGAGTACAGGCAAGGGCAGAGTCCAGAAGGGAGGAAGTGCTGGCTTCCCTGCCCCCAGACACCTGTAGTGATTCTTGAGGGTGGAGCAGGGATTGAGTTCTAGAGCCCTGGAATGACTCTGGAAAGCTACCCACCTGTTCTAATCCCACCTACACTACAGTCAGCCTTCCTCCTTATCCACAGCTTCCCTTAGCTGCAGCATCTGCTTGCTTTAAAGCAAGGGTCTGCTAAAAAGCTGAGCCCATGCTCCCTTCATCCTCTCCCAGTGACCCTCTGAAGTCTCCCCTGGCTAGAAACACCTGGATTCCCCTGGCCCTGTGCTCCTAGGCTGGGCAGCATTGGGCTGTGACTCACTATCCACCCACACGGCTGCTCTTCATACCTCTGTAGACCTGACTCACTGTTCCCTCTCGCCAGCAGGAGCCTGGCTGACACCCTGTCACTCTCTTTCTCCCTTCTTTGATTGACTTGGCCCTTCTGCCTCAGTTTCACCTCAGTTCTAGTCACTGGGCTCCTGTGAGCTTCTACCTCTCCTCCTGAGTTCTGGAGGAGGCAGGGTCTGCACCACAGGAAGTTAGGACTGTGATTATTGGCATCTGCCTCTCTTTCCTTTGCTGAATGAAGACTGTTTCTTAGGTCTTGGGATCCTATCATGTAAAATAAATAATTGCTACCAGTTAGTGTTCTAGGTACTTGGCATGTTATCCTGGTTCTTGTAATCATTATAGCACCCCTGCTGAGATAGGATTTCTAGCTAGCCACTTTTACTGGGAAACCCAGGGTTCAGAAAGATTAAGCAACTTGCCTAAGATCACATGGCTGAAATTGGAGCACAGATCTGCTGACTTCAGAGGTTATTCATTGTCTCATTCTCAGCTTAATATCTCAGGTGTTCTAGACTGGTCAGGGAAGGGGAGAGGGCTGTCTATGGGAGGTTGGCCAGCTGGGAAGGAGCCATTGATAGAGAATCCAGAGACCTTAGTTCTAATCCTAGCCCTTCATGACTTCATGACTGCCTTTTGGCACCTCAAGATTTTCATCTGAAAATGGAAAGTCATGGTATTCTTTGACATCACTTCCAGGTCTACCCACAGGTTGGGTAGATGCCTTGGTCTCTAGTCTGATGTAGTAAATGATGATCACTCTTTTGCTAGTCATGTAGCTGGAGCCATGGGCAGCAGGTACTTCTTTTCTTCTGGGAGAAGTGGCGGGGGATATCAGACTCCAGAGCTGATGAGCACAGTCCGTGGTCATTCCCAGCTGGATGTCTATGTGAGGTTGTTTTTCCCTCTTAGAGGTATGGAAAAGTGGAGCCAAGGTTGTCCCGGTTCCTTCTGGAGAGCTTCTTTCTTTCCATCTTTCTACCCCAGGGACACACTGAACTCCCTATCCTAAAGAGCTGTAAACAGGACATTGGAGATAAATGTAAATGGGCCTTTGAGAGAAGTGGTGGGCTGTAAAGGGTGCACAGGAGCCCTTTACAGAGAAGGGTAAATAGTTCACTTGAAGTAAAAAAAAAACAAACCAAAGTCTTGGCCAGAGTGACTTGCTTCCTGTCCTGTCCCTGAACTTGAGCCTGCCCTGGGCTCATGGCATAATGGGTGCCTCAGAGGAACTTACCTATATATGGGCATTACTTTCTTTCTTTTTTTATTTAGGTATAATTCATTTAAACATTATTAAGCTATAATAATTGATATATGATATAATGTTTGATACTTGTACATATTGTGAAATGTTCATCTACCATATATAACAACAAATATTTTTCTTGTGATGACAACATGTAAGATTTATTCTCTTATCAACTTTCAAATATACAAAGCACTGCTTTGTTTTAGGATACTCCCTGTGAACCCCTCACCCCCTCAAAAAAAACCCTCTGAGTACCTTCTCTAGAAACAATTTTTATCTCTGACAGTGTCTTCCTGCAAGTGGGTCACTGAGTGAAGCATCAGGAAATGAGAGTGATTTAAGGCCAAAATAGAACCAAGTGGGTGTGAGAAAGAGTAGGAATGGCCATGGCCAGGGAGTGGGGGTGACGCTGGTGGATTGCCCAGTCAGCTGCAGGTGCTCCACAGAGGTTAACATTCCTGGAATTAGGCTGCTGCACTGAATTTGTGAAGTGCCTCTCTTGGGACTCCTCAGCTTCTACTTCCTTCTGAGGTTCCTGCCGTCTGGGGGTGCTGCCCAGTCTTCCTTGGACCTTGGAAGGCACTGATCCATGAGTTCATTCTCCTTCCAGACTGTTGTTTTGATTCTTTTCCCCGGGAGTCAGACTTATCAGGGTGCCTTTCTCCCACAGTTGCTTTCTCCTCCAAGCCACAAGCTCTGGCCACACCAAGCAAAGAGGAGCGTGGGAAAAGAAGGAAGAAGGGCAAAGGACAAGGGAAGAAGAGAGACCCGTGCCTCCGGAAATACAAGGACTTCTGCATCCACGGAGAATGCAAATACGTGAAGAAGCTCCGGGCCCCCTCCTGTGTGTAAGTGTCAAATCCTGGGCTGACTCTTCTCAGGTCACTTAGCCGGCACATGACATTTCCTCGTTGCTGGTTGCTGCTGTTCCTGGAGCTCATAATTCTACCCAGTTTCTTCTCAACCTCTGGCGGAAGTTGGGAGGAGGGAAAATATTTTTAGTTAGCGGAAGGGGCTCCCTCCTCATAGGATGCAATTTCCTGTGGTGTGGGTTTATGACGCTCTTTCATCCTTGGGGACATTTCCTTCTTACCCAGAAGTGAGCATGTGGCTGGGAGAGCTGACACCTGAAGGCAGGAACTTCTCCGGTGCCTCACGCCCTGCTCTGCATGGCAGAGGGGCTTTCTAGGTGCAGTGGAGTTCCTGGGGCCTCCCTGAGCCCTTAAGCAGGTGGGAGGTGCATTTTGATCGCTCTGTGCAGGTGTGTGTGCATTCGGGCTTGTGTGCACACGAGTGAGCAAATGTGAGTTAATTCTAAGGCATGGCAAGACCCTCTGGGGAGTGGTCATTGAGGAAGGTGTTGCCCTCCTTTCTTCTTCCCCACTCCTGCAAGGTCTAATAGGTGGGGGGTCATGGAGGGTACTGCCCTTTGACCATGGGATGGGAGAACATTTCCTTTGTACAAGATTAAGGGGAAATGGAGCTCAACCCAGACGGCATCAGCCCCCAAGCAGGCAGCACCACCCTTTCCCCGGGCAGGGGTGTGGGTGGAGGAGCCGTGGTTCCCCAGCTGCTCTGCTAGGCCAAGCCCAGCAAACGGCGGCCTTGGCAACCTCTCAGGCATGACGGCACTGCCATGCTCTCTGGCAGGCATAATGTCGCCAGTGTGCCTGAGGCCAGTGCGCGTCAGGCTGCAAACATCCACTCTCTTCCGCTGGGCACAGGGTCCCTATGGGGTGGCAGGCAGGATTCTGTGACTGGGGAGGCTCTGGGTAGGCCAGGAGACTGTCGTGTGTGCAGACGGCTGGGAGCCTGGCATCTCTTTTCCACTGGTTGATGTAGATGCCTTGGCTTTTTAAAGCCTTCTCGTTGCGCCTGAGTTCACACAGCATAGCTGCCTTGTGTTTGGCAGTTGACAGACAGCCCTGTCACTGTCCCCTGTCACTATGTCTCCTCTTTTATAACTCCCTTGGTAGGAGCTTGGTATTGGAGGGGGTGGCTTAAGAGTGGCAGGGAGAGTCCCCCTGTCATCCTTCTGAACATCTTGGGGCAGGGCAGGAAATGTTTGTCTTATATTTGTAAAATGGCATGATTAGCACAGGGCGGAAGCAGTGACTCTGAGTGGAGTCAGGGTGGATTGAGGCCAGGAATCTGTCTGGGCCAAAATGGTCCAGGGCGTTGGTAGATGAACCACCAGTGCTCATCTGGGAACCCTTGAAAGGCTACTCCCCACAGTGCTGGGCAGGATGGACCAGCTATGTCCAGAAAACTGAGGTGTACCTTAGGGTGTGCGGGCTGGCCCCAGGCTGTGATGATGCCGGCTTCTCTGCTTTGCCCCAGACACTTAGTTTACATTTTCTGTGCGTCGCAATGGGCAGGTGCATGTTGTGCACCTACTCACTGGGTGCTAGACGTTATTCAGAGGGAGGGGAGGTGTAGTCCCAAGCTGGGAATCGCAAATGCCTTCTGCTGGGTAACCAGGGAAGGCAGGCCTTGCTCCCCCAGCTTAAAGATGAGGAAACTGGAGCCAGGGAGTAGGAAGTGCCTTGCCTGAGCTCAACAGCTAAATAAGTGGATGGAAGTAGGACAGAGACTCAGGTGCCTGACTTCCAGGCCCACATGCCTCTCATGTCCCAGGGTGTTGGCATCTTTCTCCCCTGTCCTTGTCCTTACAGAGTTTGACCAGGAGTTTATAGAGAGCAGCTGTTATCCTAGAGGTCTCTTAAGGCTTTTGCTAGCCTGAGAGCATGGCAGTCTAATTTGGAAGTTTTATGCCTGCTTTCTAGCAGACTCATAGCTGGGTTTTTGTCCGGCTGGGTTGCCTCTTGCCTCCAGCCCATGGCACACAGGACAGAAGGCAGCAAGAAGTCACAGGGCTCCCAGTTTGGGAAAATGAGACATCTGGGCATGATATCTGGGGCCCTTTGTGGCTCCTCCTTGCCTCTAGACCCAGGAACCGCCAGCCAGGGTGTGTCCCCGGGGCACAGCAGGCTAGCTGACTTCCTAAACCGGCTGTCCGCAGCCACCGTCCACAGGAAAACCCTTTTGTCTCACCAGCCAAAAGCTGCTTTAAAGACCAGTTTCCTAGGGCTCCCGACTGGCTACTGACCCCAAAATTGGCTGCAGAGTTTCCTGTGGCTGGAGGAACCCTGGGGGCAGATGGACTGAGAGCCCATGCAGACAGGCCTGGAGATGCTGAGGGGGATGATGAGCCCCTTTCTTTGGGCTCTGTCTGCCTCTGGTGACCCAGGCAGTACTTTAGAAGTTTGATTACATAATAACTTACAGGTATGTGGGACTTGGCCTTTTATTAAGTGCTTTTAACTACATTCTGTCATTTGATCTTAAGAGTACGCTAGTGAGGCAGGCATTTAATATTCTGTGTTTCACTTGAGGAAACTGGATCTTGGGAGGATAAAAGTAATTTGCTCAAGAGCACCTGGCTAGAAATAGCAGCAGATGAGTCTGGAATTTATGTATTCCATCAAATGGTGAGCTCCACCTGCCAGGCTCAGCAGAGAAAACCCATTTAGAAGACTTCTCTAGATCCTAGAGGATTCTTGCTTCTCTTGTAATATGAGTTGTGGAATGGGTCACAGACATGATAGAAGGAACATGTCCCAGTTTGATGGCTCCAGGCAAGACACGCGATCTTGCCTCCACCCAGTAGATGCTGGGAATGTACTTGTTCCCCTTCTTGCCAGGGCAGCCAGGAGTTGGTTGCGGTGGGGAGGGGCTAATATTAGGATGTTTATATTATTGTCCTTTTGACTCAGGGTGGCGGTACAGGGATTATGTAACTGAATGGCGGGACTCTGAGGCCAGGTTTTATTTCTATCATCTGAGTAACTACCTGTGGGGTTTGAATGATGCTGGAAGTGAAAAACAAACTCAACTTCAGCTTCCCTCTTCGAGGAGAGCACAGTATCTGAAGTCTCCCAGTCTGCTGGGTTCAATCCTGGCTCCAGTGCTCAGGGCTGTGGTTCTCCAAGAGAAGCTAAGCCTTAGTCCCATCATCTTGAAAGTGGAGCTAGTTACTCCCGCTTTTCAAGATGTTTAGAAAGAGACATAAAGTGGTCCTTGTAAAGCACTTAGCACAGAAGACTTGGCTACTAGTGGCCATCAGTGTTTGCTATTTATTATCCTTTATTACTATTACTACTGCTACTACTACCGATGTAGCCAGAAGGCAAAGTCAGGGCCCAGTGGCCTGGCACATATATGTATCCCAGGGAGACACGGACTGTTGAGAGTAGAATCATGAATTTGCAATCTACCAAGACTTGTTCCTAGTCTTCTCCTTGCTGCTGCCTAGTCATGCAATTTTGGCAAATCACATAATCTCTTGCCCATTAATCTTAGCCTTTCCATTTGTGATACAAGGCCATGTCTGCCTAGCAGGGTGTTAAGTGCTGCAGCAGAGCTACTACAGAAAGACAGTGTCTCATGTGTTAGTTATAACAAGTCATATAAACTATATCCTGTTGGATACAGTGACCTTTTCGGGAACGTTTGAGAACTTCCTCCACATCCTATGACAGGGTCGTGTGTCCACCAGGCCCGTGGGACAGATGTGTGAAACAGCTGGGCAAGGAACCATGTGCTCCATTATGTGTATAGAGGGCCTGCCGTGAGGTGGCTCCCAGAGTGCTCCAGAGGAGTTGGGGTAGAGGGTGGGCAGGAGACGGGCAGCCTGGCTGCTGCCAACTCTGGACAAGGCCACTTCCTCTTGGCCAGAAAGGGATTCCTTGTTCTGAGGCACCAGCTGTACCTCCTTCCTAGAGGAGACCAAGCTCTGAATAGAGCGCCACCAGCTTCCCAGTGCTTCCTACAGCAGCTCACAGCCTGCAGTCCCCAGGCTACTGCACCCCCTGATTAGGTGGACAGTTACTGGCTCGAGTGGGCTGCTCACTGAACTCAGCCAGACAATTCACATTCATGTCTCTGCTCCATGGGGGGAAAACAGCTCTTCCTTTCTGTAACTCAGGGCTCCTGCCTACATCAAAGGATCTCTGGGGCCTCAGATAAAGGAAGGGATGTGCATGTGCTTGTTCAATTGTAAGTGCTTCCTAGTTTCCCTCAGAGTGTCCGGGAAATGCTTTGTGTTAGAAGAGGCAGTTGCCACCTGATTTATTTCTTGAGTGAGAAGAGCCAAAGATTGTTTCTGACATTCTCCATGCTCTGGCAGGATAGCAGAGGGAGAAGATGTTATCTTGGTTTATCCTGTGGTGAAGGAGGCCCCATAGCCCAATGCTCAGAGACCAGAGACTGTGGTGCAGATCTCAAGTTGGGCCCTGCATCCCAGGGGGGACTGGGAGTTCAATGAAGGGAACTTGAGAAAAAAAGACTCCTGGCAAAGGAACAGGCCTATTAATAGGCTAGCAGCAGGCGAGAAGGCCTGGATGCTGGAAGCACTGGTGGGGACGGCTGGGTTTATTTCTGGTCACCGTGTTGAGGGGCCTCACTAGAGGGAGTGATACTAAATCCTCTCATTCAGCCCACTGACTCTTGTGCCTAGTCCTTCTAACTGGCTTCAACAGAAGGTTTGGACACACATGTAACACATCATCCACACATGGAATATATCTAGCCAAGACCTTAAAGTCCTCTCTCACTTTTTCCTTGCCTGGAGCAGGAATCTCAGGCCAGAGGACTAGAGGGTTTGGAGATAGGGGCATGGAGTGAGGAAGGAAAGCCACGGAACCCTCAGGGGGGCTTAACAGAGTCTCCTAAGAAAGAATAGAGGAAGGGCTGGGATTGTGTCAGGTACGATAGACTGAGGGCATGGGGATTGGGATTTGGCTCATACACGTGGGCCATCGTCAAGGGAGAGGCCAAACCACTAACCTCATCTCCTCTTGTTTTTGTCTTGAACCAGCTGCCACTCAGGTTACCACGGAGAGAGGTGTCATGGACTGAGCCTACCTGTGGAAAATCGCTTGTATACCTATGACCACACGACCATCCTGGCTGTGGTCGCTGTGGTGTTGTCATCTGTCTGTCTGATCGTCATCGTGGGGCTTCTCATATTTAGGTGAGTTTGGGGCACCCCTGAAGACTGCTGCCACAAACCATTCCATTCCTCTTTCTTCTTCTGGGTGTTCTGCCTCAGGGTTACATGAGCACTCCAACCCTCCCAGATTCTGGGCTAGGATTTCCTGGGTACAGCTTCTTCAGGAGTCTGGCTGCTCTGGCATGCTGTGAGTCTGTGTTTAGAACCCAGACATAGACTGGCTATGCAGGTGCTGTTTCCCTCAGCAGCCCCTGCAACCCACCCCTGGAGCTACCTCCTCATAGTTCTTCCTCCTGGCTCTATTCCTTGACAGCATTAGTGTGTGGTTTGGTATCAATGTACTAATACCATATCCTTCCACTCCTGAGGCATCTTGACTTCAGGCCATGTTTCCAATCCAGGTTATATTCTAGAAGGGGGAGGCCTGCCAAGCACTCTTTGCCCTTTTTCATCTGTAGAAAAGCCAAGTTGTCTTTCCAAGGATTGTAATCTTTCAGCGATTGTAATCTCTGTCTTCCTACCTCACAAAGATGTGAGGGTTGTATAAATGAAGTGAAAGATCTTAACAAATTGGAGAGACAGGTCTCCCTCAGAACAGCTGTGCTCTGATAAGGGGTTTGTTGGGCTGCCATACCCTCTGGACTTTCCTAAGGAGAGAGGGGAATCACCACAACAGTGTTCTGTGGAAAGACCTGCTCTGTGGCCTGTGCCTTGTCGTAGCAGGCAGGGCTTGCTCACAAAGCTCATTTTCCTCAGGTACCACAGAAGAGGAGGCTATGATGTGGAGAATGAAGAGAAAGTGAAGTTGGGCGTGACTACTTCCCACTGAGAGAGACCTGTGCTCAAGGTAACGGTTCATCCTTTGCCCGCTGGTTCCATCACCCTCTCTCCTGAGTCTGTGTCAGTGTGCTGAGTTGTCTTGACCTGGATTGGCAGGAAGGCTACTGTGGAGTCAGGCTCCTAGTGCAGAATTATTTTCAGATAAGTTTGTAGTGCTTCATTTCCACTTAGGATGAAAGTTGATAGAGACCCAAGAAAGATTCTGAGAGGATAGCTCTTGTCTTCAGCCCCGCTTCTTCCCAAATGATCTTTCCACTTCTTCAGACCGAGCTTAGAGTATCTTACAAATGACTTTCAATGTCTTCCTTTTGTGTTGTAGGAATCATCTGGGGAACGCTACCTCTGAGAAGACACAAGCTAATTGCAGACTCTGCAGAGGGGAAGGGCTTCACAGCTAGCCATGAAGACTCCCTTCGTCCCCAGTTGCTATCTAGATCAGGTCTCTCTCATAATAGCTTCACCAAAATACCAGAGCCTTCAAGTGCCAAACAGAATATATTCAACCGGATCTGGGTCAGAAGAAAGCAGAAATGAGAGACCTTCACGCCCTTCCGATTCCCTTCCACCAAGCCCTACTTACCCCATAAGTTTGTTTAAACTCTTATCCTCTGGATTCAAATGCCAGTTAAATTCCATATGCTCCAGGATCTTTGACTGAAACAGAAAACGAAGAAGAAGGAGAGAAAGAAGGAAAGACCTGTGGACTGGGAGAAGTAACAAAGGCTGAGAAGCCATGTATTCAAGTAGCCACCAAGGGGTCTGCTATTTGGACTCCCCTACCCCCAGCTCTGGATTTGATGAGCTAACTGTGAAATACCACAAGCCTGAGAACTTTGAATTTTGGGACTTTTACCAAGATGGAAAAATAACAACTATTTTTTGTTTGTTTGTTTGTTTGTAAAATGCCTCTTAAATTATATATTTATTTTATTCTATGTATGTTAATTTATTTAGTTTTTAACAATCTAACAATAATAATTCAAGTGCCTAGACTGTTACTTTGGCAATTTCCTGGCCTTCCACCCGCATCCCGACCATCTGGCCCAGCTTCGCTCTTCTCTGCCGCCAATCTGAGATGGACTCTGTGACCTGTCTGTAGCCACCTATCGTCTGTCCACATTTCTGAAGATCTTCCATGATCAGAGTGCCACCGGGGGACTTCTGTACGGTCAGGATGTAGGAGTTGCCTTTGTGAGATCCACTCTATGAGTTGGACTGCAGTCTTGCCTAGGCAATTTTGTCTACCTTTTGTGTTCTGAAAGCCCAAGGTGCTGATGTCAAAGTGTAACAGATACTGATGTTTCCCTGTGTGTTCTCCGAAGAGGTTGGGCTGCCATGTCTGAAGCTTTCCTGGGTCCTCACCCCCCGCCCCTGCCATGGCCCCAGGCCCACAGAGTGGGAACTCATTTTTCCTTGTGTCAAGACATTTCTCTTACTCCTGCCATTCTTCTGGTGCTCCTCCATGCAGGGGTCAGGGCAGCAGAGCATAGTCTAGAGAAGGTGTCAGCAAAGAAAAAGGCTGAGGATGAACAGGAGACATTGGAGCTGACAGTTCTTGGTAACTGATAACCTACCAACCTACCAAAGGTTGGAGGTGAGGAAGGCTTTTGTGTAAACCCACCTTGACGAAACCACAAAGGTATGCTGTCATGGTCCTTTCTGGAAGTTTCTGGTGCCATTTCTGAACTGTTACAAACTGTATTTCCAAAACTGGTTCATATTTATACTTTGCAATCCAAATAAAGATAACCCTTACTCCCTAGCCTTCTATCTGCTTGCTTTATCTGGGAACTGGTTCAACATAAGTTTTTTCCTGAGCCCTGATTTGGTATCATTTAGGTGCTTCGTCAGTCTATTTATGTACACTATCTCAGTTTCTCCAGCAACCCAGTCGTGGAGGCATAAAAGAGGAAACTTAGGTTCCAAGAGGTTATGTAACTTGCCTGAGGGTACACAGTTTGTAAATGACAAAGCTGGGTTGGGTAGCATGACTCCGATGATTGTTTTCATTCTTATGTCCCAGTAACACTGAGACAAGAGACAATAGACCTTTCACACAGAAATTTGACTGCCTATAAATTTTGCCTGGCTCAGGCCCAGATGCTGTACAGGCATTGCACCTGGTGGAAATAAGACATCTTTGACCCTCCTCATGTCCTACAGCCAGTCCATTTGCAGGTTTGTTGACCCTACCTTTAGGACACATGCTAGATGCAACCACTCACATCTCTGCCACTGCCATCACTCCAGTCCAATTCATTGTCATCTGTTGCCTAGGCTCCTGTGATGGCTCCAGGCTCTCGTCCACCTGCTCCCAGTATCCACATTCTCACTTCCAACACCATAGCCAAAGTGGTCATTTAAAGCATAATCCAGATCTTGTCTGTCTTGCAGACTACTCTACATGCCTCTCCACCCCAGTCTTCTTAGTATCCTTGTGCTTTATTTTTCTCCATTGCATTTATCACCACTAATTTCTCTAGAATGTTAACTCCATGAGGATAGGGGTATTTGCATTGCTTCAATCCAGTGAGTTGCAGGCACCAATATTTGTTACATGGATGAATGACTGTATAAGAAACAATTCAAGTCCAGCATGTAGGTGGGTATGCAATCCAGTGCTTTTCTAGGGCTGAATTTAGAGAAAAGTCCCTGTTGAGGAGATGACAGGAAAAAAAGTAGAATTTGGGGCAGGTCATGTTGCCATGGCATCTTATGGGGATTGAATTCAGAGATCCATTGGAGAAATATCATTGGGCTATCCCTTTCTCATTCTCTCAGTGAGTGAGTGAGTGACACTCCAAAATTCTCAGGAGCCCATATAGAATTCTTTTTTTCAAAAAAAGATTTATTTGTGCATAGAAGAACTGGGGTATAGGTCAGAGATGGGGGTGGTGGTGAGAGCCTTCACCAGGGACAAAGTGAGGAGCAGATAGGCAGATTGAAATACACTGCTGTGGGGAGCAGTGGGCAAGACAGGAGAGGTCTGCTGTACCTTGTGAGTAGCTCCCTGGCCAGGGATTGATCTCAGGCCACAGCAGTGATAGCGCTGGGACTCAATCCTTAAGCCACCAGGAAGGCCCAGAATTCTTGTATGTACTTACAATGTTCTTTTCAAACTTTGGACAGCAATTACAGCCAAAGCTGGACATATGCAGACTCTATAAACCAGTAGATTCTACTCACAAGCACCAGAGAAATTAGTGAACATACCGTTCATGTTCATGGAAATAAAATGTATAAAAATGATCTTAGCATGATGGCACACGGGTACTTGGTGATGGGAAACCCGCAGGGATTACAACTGAGATGGAAAAAAAAATGTACAAAATGATGTAAAAATAAACTGTTATAAAAAAATGATCTTAGCATTACTTACAATTACCAGAAGCTGCAAGTGCCACTCAATATTTGATGATAATGTGAATAACAAAAATATGGTATATCCTTACACTGAAATATTGAAAGGCAATACGGATGGATCTTATACAACTAAGTGAAAGAAACCATTCACAAAAGGGAACAATGCGTGCAATTCCATTTATTTAAATATTTAAAACATGCACAGCTAAACTATGGTGAAATCAATCAGGAGATTCCAACAGGGATTGACAATGACTGGAACCCTGCAGAAAGGAACTTCCGGAGTTCTTGTAACATTATGTTCACTTTCCAGGTTCCCAGGTACATTCACTTTGAGACCAAGTACGAGTTGTACAATTTATTACATGTATTAAGCTTCAATGAAAAGATTTTTAAAAAAAACCTGGGTAGGAGGGCCCTCCCTGGTGGCGTAGTGGGTTAAAGTGCAGCACCATGAAGCTAGCCACAGCCACTTCAGCGTGAGTTCAACCTGGCCAGGGAGCTGACCCACATGGCGTGGCAGACCTCTCCTGTTTTGCCCGCTACTCCCCTCATCAGTGTACTTCTTCAATCTGCCTGTTCTGCTCCCCACTCTGTCTCTGGTGAATCCTCTCACTGCCTGTACACCTCTGGCCTGTACCCCAGTTCTGTATGCATAAATAAAGAAATAAAAAAAAAAGCCTGGGTAGGAGAAGCTTGCAATCTGCATTGTATATTGTTCTGTAAGGTATCAAACTGTTATTGCTTCGGTAAGCAGAGATAACAGTGCAGATGGCAGAAATACATCTGTGGAACAGGGAGCGAACGACTTTGAACTCTCCGTGGGGCTCCCTTTCCTGCTTCCAAGCTTCAAGGCTCCAATCCTCACCCGGGCTGGGCTTTTTCGAGCACACTTTGTTTCTCCAGCTAATGTTTCCTGTGGGCCCTTGGCTTCCTGCCTTTCAGTTACTCTCTCTCTTGGCCCTGTTATTGCTGAAATCTCTCTTCGGGCATCAGTGGAGCCCCTAAGGGTCTGACATCTACTTAGCTGACAGGGAGCCCTTGAACTTGCAGCTCCTTTCAAGATTAGTCAACACAACAACTCTGGCCTTTCTGAGCACAGAGTATCTATCTTTTCTTGGTGAACATCCTTTTCAACTATCTTTGAGATACTTTCTTTTATATGTTCATATAATCATCATTAGGTTAGTAAATATTTAATATGTGTGGAGTGCTTGCTATGTGTTGGGTGTTGGGCTCCCAAAGGCATCATCTCAATTACGTCTCTTCAAAACAGAGGAGGCAGATGCTCTTATTCATCCCGAGAGAGTTATAGATGAAGACATCAAGCTCAGAGATGTTAAATGATTTGTCTTTGGTGTGTGATAAAGACTCTCGCAAACTTGGGAAACCTGACTCCAGATACTTGAACCACTAAGCTCCATTCCTATGTGAGTTCTCTGGTCCAGACTTGATTTAGCTTCTTCCCATATCTAGAAAGGTGTCTTAAAGAACAATTCCTTAAGGCATAAGAGTTTCTTCTATCTCCAGTGATTACAAGGGACCAAGGTTCCATATCAGGGGGCAAGGGAAAGACCTGGGGTGCAGGCTCACACAGAGTGGGGCCTGGACCAAGTATCAGGCATGATACTTGACCTCTCTGTACCTATCTCCCTATCTATAAAACAGAGATACTAAAAATATCTACAGCAAAGTGACGTGTGAGAGCTCAAAGATACTCAGTTACAAAAATGATATGTGTGAGTGAAGTTCCTAGCTCAGGGCCAGGCTCATGCTAGATACTCAGAAAATGCCAGTTATCTTGAGCAGCCTGCCTGAGGAACTCATTAACGGCACATCCAGAAGGCAAATCTCGGCTTCTGACTGCCAGGCTACATTTCTTTCCTTAGAAATAAACAATGCTTTTCAATCACTGTCTTACATTTTAATGACAACTGTGGTTTCAAAGGAGCCTAAAGGATTTTTAACAAATAGATGTGGATTTAAGAAGCCACAAAATAGTAACTCTGTTCAAATAAATCACTTCAACTAGGCTGGCCTGAAATTCCTCACTTTGTCAACAATGCCTGAAATTCAGGCTTCCTGTTTGAGAATGCTAATACTCCTGGGAATAGCTATGCTTTAAGAGACTGGCATTCTTTGTTGTATAAATCATGTTAGTTCATTCATTCAGCAAATACTTCCCTATCACTTTCCAGAAGAGATCCGTGCTGTGAAGGACAGGGCATTTTGATAGAATGAGGATGGGGAGAAAAGAAGAGAAAATAAATTTGTTCATTCAAAAAACTGAGTACTGGGATCTCCCTGATGGCGCAAGGATTTAAAGTGACACACTGTGAAGCTACCACCAGCCAGTGCATGAGTTCAATCCATGGAGCTGACCCACATGGCACAGCAGACCTCTTCTCTCTGCCGGCTGCTCCCCTCAGCAGTGTATTTCAGTAGATCTACCTGTTCTGCTCCCCACTTTGTCTCTGGTGAATCCTCTTACCCCCCACATCTGGTCTGTACCCCAGATCTTATATGCATAAATAAATCTTTTTAAAGAAGATACAAGAACCAGGGTGGTGTATCAGAACTGTACCTCAGTTCTTATATGTATAAATAAATCTTTAAAAACCCTGTGGCATCAGGGAGACCCCCGAAATCAAGAATTATTTTGTGGAGATATTAAGTCAATGTTGGGTAAAGGACAGCACTGAAGAGAGGGCTGTGGGATGGGTCAGGGGAGATACTAGGAGAAAAATGAAGCAACAGGGTTAAGCAAGAAAAAACTGAAGACAAAAATATAAGAACAGGGCCTCCCTGATGCCACAGAGTTTAAGTCTCAGAACTATGAAGCTATAGGCAACCACTGCAGCATGGAGTTTCAATCCCTAGCCAAGGAGTTAACCCACATGGCGTAGCAGACCTCTCCTGTCTTGCCTGCTGCTCCCCTCAGCAGTATATTTCATTAGATCCACCTTTTCTGCTCTTCACTCTGTCTCTGGTGACTCCTCTCACCCTCTGCATCTCTGGCCTGTACCCCAGTTCTGTATGCATAAATAAATAAAAAATAATAAAGCCATTCTGCCAAATGAATGGAGTCTGTGGTTGGATGCTGTGGAAACCTCCAACCTGTAGCCAGTTGGTCAGAAGCACAGGTAACAGCATGGACTTGCAGCTGGCAGAGGAGAAACCAAGAATTTAACCTGCAAAGTCTGGTGCTCTCTCCAGGTAGCCAGGGTCAGTACTGAGTTGAATTCAGGGTGCTGATGTCTGAAAAAGCTTGTTGGTGTGGGGAAACCTCCTCATGGTACCCCTGTTGGGAACTGGTCACAGGACACAGCACACAGGCCCTGAGACTCAGGAGTGAAGCGCCTCACACAGGCTGCCACCAGCTACGTGATGTCCTTG